AGTACGCTATGCCCAAATTCGTGCAAGTCAAAAGATTTCCAGGGGCTTTAGTTGATTATTAACCTAAAATCGGGCGAAGCTATATCTAAATCTGTACCGATATTCACGAAAATTTGCACACATCATTCTAGACTTAATTTAGTAAGCTATGCCAAATTTCGTGCAAATCGAAAGATATATAGGGACTTTGGTACACAATTTACCTTAAATTGGACAAAGATAAATATCGGAGCTATATATAAATCTGAACTGATTTTCACGAAACTTGGCAGATATCATTCTAGACCTAGTTCATTACGCTGTTATAAATTTCGTACACATCAAAATATTTCCAGTGACTTTAGTGGACTATTTACTTAAAATCGGGCGAATCTATATATGGGAGCTATATCCAAAGCTGATCCGATTTTCACGAATCTTAACACACATCATTCTAGACTTAATTTAGTACGCTGGGCCAAATTTCGTGCAAATCGAAAGATATATAGGGACTTAGGAACACAATTTACCTTAAATCGGACCAAGATTTATATGGGAGCTACATCCAATCGTGCAAATCGAAATATATATAAGGACTTTGTTTTTACAATTTAACACCAAGAGACGGACAGACGGACGGACGGACATGCATAAATCGACTCAGAAAGTTATTCTATGCATATTCTCAAAAGTAACCGTGGGTCTATCTCGATTATTTTTGCCTGTTACAAACATATGCACAAAGACATAATACCCTGTACTACAGTGTGGTGAAGGGTATAAATATCAAATAAATTGTTTGTGTAGAATAAAATTGATTTCATCGATAAAAATATCAGTCGAAACAAAATGTGTAGAGAGGTACGTCGACCAGTATGAGTCTATAGCACACAATTCATCTGTATAGTACACGAAGACGTACACTGATGTATTAAATGCCCATCCTTATGACGATGTTGCAAATATTAAGAAAGATTACATCGTACACGTCCGACCACACAACGACCACACAACAGTAGATGTCCAGTTGGAGAAGACTCATAGTGTTCATATCAACGAGTGGACTTTATTACACACCACATCAATAAAACTTATCAAATTTATACAAATATTTGACTAATGAATCCTAGATTTCAAAGAAAATACTAACTAAAATGTTAATTAATTAAATTTGAAAATTTGTTTTAAAATATTTATTTTCTTAAAATCGAAATCGATCATCCTAATAGAATAGGGCATACCAATTTCCACTTTGTTGAATGGAGCTCAGGTTATAGTTAATGCAGCAATTTTTTCTAAATATTAAAGATTGCATGGTTAACATCTATTAAACACATTCTGTGTCTGATAACTTAAATTACTGTCTTTTGGTGATACATTGTATTACAAATTTGTTTCATTTAAATATTCACTAGCTATTTATCTATTAAATTTGTGTATGAAAAAATATTAAACATTCCCCATCGGGTTATGTGACAAATTACAATTATGCGATTTCCCCAGTGTGATAAAATTTTGGTGTGGTATAAAAAACCGTTTAACAATTTCATTAGGAAATGTTATGTGCAAGAATATAACTTAAACAGTTTTTCGTTTGCTCTAAATGAGGATAGTTCCGAAGTTGTAAAGCGTCAAGGCGGCAGATATTCTAAATGAAAACTGGAAAATGTGTATCATCCAATTGCCTACGTGGTACACGAGTTGGCTGTGGAAAGCTATGATGTAAATGAAGATTCAAAAATGTTGGCAGTTTCAGTGATACAACTTGAAGGCATGTTGCAGCCCAGTGAGTGATGATGAAAATACAAATACAGCTGCAGAAACTAATGAAACAAATGAATAAGGAGACCCTCCTCAATAACCTGTCTACAACACGATTACTTTTGTTGTTTATAGTTGAAAAAATGGTCAATATTAATATCAATTTTATTATTAATTTCAAATTAAATGTATTCTTCCTTTGAACTGAAAATTTATTTTATAAATGAATAATTTGAAGTGATAGTCAGCCAAACTGTTGTTTTTTTTTTAACGGAAATAAAGTGCTATGGTTAATTTAGTTTTATTTTTGAAACTATTTAGAAATTTGCAATACTGTGTGAGCAAGAATGAGCGTAACGATGGTTATAGTCACATCCTGTTTAAGCGTTTGTAGTCCACGAGGAATGACCGTATAGAAAGCCTTGCGGCCATCATATCCAATCTTTGGTTCTGAATGGTGACCACTGTATTCTAGTTATCTATAAAAAAAAAACCGTTGTAGCTTTCAAGTTTGGCTGGCAACATCAATTAGGTCCATTGGTCTTGGGGTGTTGAACGTCACAGTGATTCTAGCACTCTTATTTAAAATATCTTCAAATTTTGAGCTAAAAATATCGAAAATGCGATTAAATCCATAAATTTCATATATTGATTTTCCTATCCTAATTTTTCGACCTGAGTGTCTTTAATTTTTTACCCTCTACCATAAGGTTTAGGGTACAAAATTTGTCATACTTTTTGCAACACCAAAAAGATTTGTCGTAGTATACATATTTTTGATCAGAATAACTGAAATCACGATAGAAATAGATTTTATGCACTGACACTGCTATTTATACACTTCGCCACACTGTGGTACAGGGCATTATGTCTTTGTGCATATGTTTGTAACAGGCAAAAGGAACCGAGATAGACACATGGTTCCTTTTGAGAATATGTGAAATTGTGAACAATGTACATGTGGTATTTATGATCCGATTTGGATGAAGTTTGGCATTGGTCACTTATTTGGCCCAAACCTATTGAAATTGGAAAAAATCGGTTCAGATTTAGATATAGCTTCCATATATATATTCGTCCGATTTAATGTAAATGATGCACCAAAGTTTCTATATATCTCTCGATTTGCACGAAATTTGGCACAGCGTAATGAATTAGGCCAAGAATGATGTGTGTTATGTTTCCTGAAAATCGGTTCAGATTTAGATAAAGCACTCACATATATTTTCGTCCGATTTAAAGGTAAATGGTGTACCAAAGTCTCTATATATCTTTCGATTTGTACACAATTTGACATAGCGTACTGAATTAGGTCTAGAATGATGTGTGGTAAGTTTCATGAAGATCGGTTCGGATTTAGATATAGCTCCCATATATACTTTCGTCCGATTTAAGGTAAATGGTGCACAAAAGACCTTATAAAACTTTGGACTTGCTCGAAATTTAGCACAGCGTAATGAATTAGGTCTAGAACGATGTGTGTTAAGTTTCCTGAAAATTGGTTCAGATTTAGATATAGCTCCTATACATACTTTCGTCCGATTTAAAGTAAATGGTGTACCAAAGTTCCTACGTATCTTTCGATTTGTACACAATTTGACACAGCGTTCGATTTGCACGAAATAAAATTTGATTTGCACGCAATAAAATGCGACATGGGTTAGGATTCATCTGTTGAATATACCCAAAGTGGTGAAGGGTATAATATAGCCGGCCCCGCCCGACTGTACTATTTTCCTTACTGGTTTTCCTAGGATATTGGGTATTGAAAATGAGTTATATCTTTCGACGTTTCGGTATAGCACCCACATTACGGTATTGCCCAAGATTCTGTATATTTTAAACGTTCACCACACTGTGGTACAGGGTATTATGCCTTTGTGCATATGTTTGTAACAGGCAAAATGAATCGAGATAGACCCATGGTTCCTTTTGAGAATATGCATAGAATCACTTTCTGAATCGATTTACGCATGCCTGTTGATGTATTTTTGTGAACATTTATGATCCGATTCGGATGAAATTTGGCACAGTTCACACATTTGACGAAAACTATCGAAATTGGAGAAAATCGGTTCAGATTTAGATATAGCTCCCACATATAGTTTCGTCCGATTTTATTTAAATGATGAACCAAACTTCCAATATTTGTCCGATTAGGACAACATTTTGCACAGCGCACTGTATCAGGTCCGTACTTATTTATGTGAAGTTTTGTTGGAATCGGTTCAGATTTTGATATAGCTCTCATATATAGTCTCTTCCGATTTTTGTGAACCATACACTAAACTCCCAATATTTGTCCGATTGGGACAAAATTCTGCACAGAGTACTGAACTAGGTCCAGACTGATATCTGTTAAGTTCTGTTAAAATCGCTTCAGTTTTAGATATAGCTCCCATATATAGTTTCGTCCAATTTTTTTTGAATGATACATACACCACACTCCCAATATTTGTCCGATTGAGCAAAATTTTACATAGCGAAGTTTGTTGAAATAGATTCAGATTTTGATATAGGTCTTTTATATTTATTCGATTTTATTCAAATGGTGCACCGGAGGGCCTATGTTTGTTCGATTTACACGAAATTTGAATAAAAAGTGATAACAAAAAACAAATGCAACGATTGCTCAATTATGTCCATGTTTTTATATATAGCTCCCATACATAATTTTAATCGACTTCATACAAATGGTACACCAAAGAATCCAAGTCTGTCAATTTTCCATTGATTTGAGAATGGTATGTGTATGAGGATTTTTTAATTGTTTCAAATATCTATTAATTTCGCCCGATTCCATCTCAATAGTCCTCCAAAGATTCTATATATGTTCTATCTACAGGATATTGTAGATATTAACATCTCTTGTAGGTACCCAAAGTGGTGAAGGGTATCATATAGTCGGCCCCGTCCGACTTTTGAACATTCATTACTGATTTGATTTAATTATTTTCTTAAAGTATTTTATATAACGTGCAGATTATAATACTATTTATAATAATTACAAATTATCTATTGTAGTCCTGTAGTCCAGATTTGACGTTGTCGTTCACCTTGTTGGTAATTTATTTAACAATAAAAAATAATTTAATAAGTATATATTTTTTCTTCTTTTAAATATGCATTACAATTAATCATTTATTACTAAATTTATAGCAAAGAATTTCCACGATTAAACACAGAAAAGCAGTGGCGTTCATTATAAAATATAATGACATAAACCATTTAGTATCTTGTAGTTCCATAGGTTCAAATACCATCTTTCGACTGGAGTCCGTCAAATTAATGCGTTTTCTTTGAATTGCCTCTATGAAAGACATTTGTTTCCAATGTTTGATTAGACCAGCTTGATTGGCTATACCAATCATGTCATTGACTGCTTCCTCGAATGGCGAATTCTCCTGCATTGGTATCATTTGGCCATGCATCCGCACGAAACAAACGTCGGATAAACGAAATTTACGTTTGGCAAAGAATTTCTGTTGTTCATCATAGAGGGCCCATTGAACCTCCGGCACCGGATATAAGTAACGAGTATCGAAATTATCACGTAATGTGTAAAATTCGTAAAATGTTGGTACAACAGTTATAACTTTAACGTATAGATCAAGGTCGGGAAATGTAACGTTGTCCATGCGATAAAATTCATCGGCATACATTAGAATTTTCTTGTTATGGGCCATGACATCCTCTAAAGTGTTGATGGGATTCAGCGTGGGTGGACTGGCATTGAAACTTTGTAGATATGTCACGAAGGTGGTGTTTATCATAACGCCACCCAAACAGGTCAATACATAGAGAATGCTACGCCAACCGCAATAAGTTGCTTCCATTTGAAATGGTTGACCCAACATACCGTTGAAGGTATATATGTTCAAGAAGATATTCCAAAGACTATTGGGTTTGCCTTCCAGCCAAAATGTAAAATCAATGGCAAGTGTCAGGCACAGCATTGTCATTAAAATCAGAGATAATATACGAACATCAAAAATCATGGCATAGAACATATAATCTGGTATGGGACTTTCCGTCGGCACCATGATACACCAATCCAAAAATGCATAGTTGTCACTATGTACCCGACCACTTTTATAGTTATTCAATTCCAGTTGCTGAGACATGTCCAACGTATTGTTGTCTAGAAATTCATCAAACCGAAAAGCATCAATATAGCCGATGGGAAAAGTTATGGTCGCATTATGGTATTTGGCAAATTCATCGAAGAAATGACCCACATGACCGCCAAGGAAAAATGTTCCATTTTGCTCCTTTAGAATATACGATTTATTGCTGCCTATCTTAAGGGTTAAACGCAGAGGAGATTTATGCATATTTTTAACATGATCTAGATAGAATATCATGTGGGTGGACCCAGTAAAGTTATTAACTTTTAATTCAAAGAAGGGATATATTTGTGGTGTATAATATTTGGGTTTAGTTGCAACATCCTCCTGTATGGCCATAATGTTAATTGCTTTGTAGTCCGAGCAAAATTTGAAAATTTCTTCAATATATTCTTGATTTACTCCATTTGGAAATATTAAAAATAATTTGGTTTTTAGTTGCCTCCTTAAACTTTTCCATAAGATCTCAAGCAATGATTTATCTTGCAGGGCATCTCCATTCATTGGGACCACCGCCAACATTTCTCTATTAAATTTTGGCCATAAATAAAACCAAGTATTACCCTTCAGTTGTATCATCGGAATTTGCAAAAGTTTCGAAACTTCATCAACATCGTGGATATTCCCCGATAACTCACCATCATCATGACTTATATATATGATTGTCTCATACGAACGTTCTCTCCACACCTCATTTAGTATATCTACTATTTTCACATTTATTTCATTTAAATTAATCCATATTTGTAGCAAACCGAATAATGTTGTTGTCACATTTGTTGTTAAAATCACCATTTTCATTTAACAACTTGCAATTAGACTCAAACAATCACGTTCCGATAAACTATCAGACTAAGAATTGTGTTAACAAAATTGTAATCTGGGGATAGTTGTCAATACGATATAAAATATTGTTTTGATAATTTACAAAAATATAAATTATAATACATTATTGGATAATAGACAATTGTTGTATACAATGTCGACTTCCGTTTAAATAAAATACACAACTGATGTAAATTAATTGTTTGAAATTTAATTTATTGTTATCACGATAGGTTTATTAGGCAATAAGCGTATATGTGCTGTGTTATGTATTACACAACTATATCTATAATATTTTTGTAGCAGACTGAAAACCAATTATAATTAAGAGTAGTTCTATATACGTAGCATGAAGAATTCATATTCGAAACCCTTTGTTGTATGTTTTTTGGGAAACATAGGGAAAGTTCAAAAGTCGGACGGGGCCGACAATATTATGACCTTCACCAATTTGAAAATATACAAGAAATGCTCCTAAGATTCTTATTGCAGCCTACAACCATTTATGTAATTGACATGAAATTGGTCGAAAATTGACAAATTTTGGTTATTTAGTACCCCATTTGGATCGTATCCACCAAAAAATATACATTTCAACAAAACAAAAGTATGGTCTTTGGTGCACCACTTACATAATATTGAAAAATGGAAGCTACATCTAAATCCAATGCCTATATAAGGTCGTACAGTATGGACAGCTGAGTATAAAGTTTGCTGTCAAAACATATCTTGAATCCTAAACATACATACAAAATTGTGTTAGACGTCAAAACGAAAATATTAATATTTTTTCAACATTAAATTCAATTTTAATTTTTAATGTTATTATTCAAGATTTTAAAGAACATTTTCATTTTTATTTATAGGCGAAAAAATTAGTTTTCACCTCGGCAAAAAATGACGTTAAACTAAAGTTTTCTCTATGAATTCGCTTACTGGCCGACCATATATAGGCCTTATCTACAGTAAGGAAAGTTCAATAGTCGGACGGGGCCGACTATGTGATACCCTTCACCACTTTGGGTACATACAAGAGATACTCATATGTACAATATCCTGTAGATAGAATAGACATAGCATCTTTGGAGGACCATTGAAATTGAATCGGACGAAATTAACTGCGTGAATTACATAGATATTTGAATTAAATTAAAAAGAAAAAATAAAAAATGAAGATGCGACTTCTGTTAGGATTCATCTGTTGAATATACTCAAATTGGTGAAGGGTATCATATAGTCGGCCCCGTCCGACTTTACTACTTTCCTTACTGGTTTTGTATGTTTTTTGGGAATCAAATCGCCACCATCCATTACTAGACTTAAGAAATACTGTATATAAGATAAGAAAACCAAGTAGGGAAAGTTCAAAATTCAGACGGGCCGACAATATTATGACCTTCACCAAGTTAAGAATATACAAGAAATGCTTCTAAGATTTTTATTACAACCTACAATCATTTATACAATTGACATGAAATTGATCGAAAATATACAAAAAATATATAGGAGCTATAACTATATTTGAACCCATTTCAACAAAACAAACGTAGGGTCTTTGGTGCACCACTTACAAAAAATTGACAAATATATATATATATATATACATGGAAGCTACATCGAAATCAAAACAGAATTAAAAAAAAACAATACACCTCAGTGTAGACTCAATTCAATATAGTATGACAAATTTCGATGGTAATGTAAAAAAGTAAAAACGCCGTTACGTACGGCCGCACTATGTGCCATATATCAGATTTTTTGACCATAATTAGAGAAGTGGGTTTATGAAGAAACCAGTAAGGACTATGGGTATGTTGCACATAAATGCAAACAGACGTAACTACACTTTTAAGAATTTTACAGGAGAAGCAAAAAACGTTATAAAAACTATAAAAATGGAGCATTGCTCAAAATTTTTTCATAGTTTAACCGCACTATGGAGCCGTATTTATTTTTAGAAAAATAAATACTTTTTTTTGGTTTTTAAAGGTTTTATGTCAGATACGTCCTTTTGACTTGATATTTTCTAAAACAAAAGGACGTAACTACAACACAATTGTAGTACAACAAAGTGAATAATAATTATCCGTTTGAGACTAAAATTTTTACAGCGTACCAAATTGAGTCCGGAGTGACGTGTGTTAAGTTTTGTTGATTCGATATAGCTCCCATATACAGTTTCGACCGATTTTATGTAAATGTTGCACTAAGGACATTACATATTTCTCCGATAGTGATAAAACTTTGTACAGGGTACTTTTCCATCCAGTGGAAAACAAAAATACCTAATTATAGCTGATTAGTTAAAAAAAATTAAGAAATGCCTTAAACTTGGTATCGCGATATGGGGGCTACCGAATTTAAAATTGGCCGATATATCTCATTTTCAATATCTAACATCCCAGAAGTAACATTAATATAAGTTCAGAATTTCTATCTTCAATATTGCGAGCTTTAGTTTTTTTTTTTTTTACAGGAGTGTAGTTACGTCCGTTTGAATTTCTTTAATTATGTCGCTGTTTTTGACGTTAGATGTCTAAATTTTTGTGTGAACATGTAGTTTGATTAGACGAACAATAATCAAACCAATAGTCAAGTTCGAATTTTTCTGTAGTTACGTCCGTTTGCATTTATGATGACGATATGTATCCTTATAATTGCAAATCTAGACTTAATTCAGCTGGAATTGCACAAATTTCGTGCAAATCGAAGGATATGTAGGGATTTTGGTGCACAATTTACATTAAGGGGACCCCCCATTCTCGGGGTCAAAAATTTTTTTGATTTAATTCGAATCTACACTAATTCAAGAATGGCCCTACAAAATTTCAAGTGAAAATCTCAAGAACTATTGAAGATATAGCCGATTTATTGTGTCAGCATCAAGTGACGGCTAAAGGGCTTCTCAAACTTTAAACGCGTTTTTTCTTTTGTGAATGGCGGGCACGATAACTATAAAACTAATAAACCAATCGATTCCACATTTTCAAACGTTTCTCTGTGAGTGTGTATAAAGCCAATCGATGAAGATCTTCCTTATTTTTTAACTTGGGTTTTGGTCAAAAATCGGCGATTTTCCAAAAATATTTTTTCAAAGGTCCGCCATTTTTTTAATTTTAAAGCGAAGTCAATAATCCTAGTTCATACGAGAGCTAGACATGTACTCTTTCTAACACCGTTGGAATTTCTGGATTCCGATGTTCCAGTGAGGAGTTATCATGCCCGCCATCAAAAATAAGGACTTCTCTTTACAAAAAACAACAACAAAACCATTACAAAATTTTTTTGTAAATCATTTTTCCTCTCTTTTAAATCTTCAAATATATATGAGCAAAATTACAAACCTTAACAAGCATTGGTATTAATTTGCCAGCCCATTGAAAATCTTGAAAAATTCGGGAATGGGTGGGGGGGCGGAGTGGTTCCCTTAAATCGGACGAAAATATATATGGGAGCTATATCCAAATCTGAACCGAATTTCACCGAATAACACACATCATTCTAGACTTAATCTAGTTCGCTATGCCAAATTTCGTGTAAATCGAAAGATTTATAGGGACTTTTGTACGCCATTTATGTTAAATCTGACGAAAATATATATGGGAACTATATTTAAATCTGAATCGATTTTCACGAAACTTAACACACATCATTCTAGACTCAATTCAGTGCCTCATGAAAAATTTCGTATAAATCGAAAGATATATAAGGACTTTGGCACACCATTTACATTAAATCGGACGAAAACACATATATAAGATCTATATCTAAATCTGAACCGATTTTCATGAAACTTAATACACATAATTCTAGACTGAATTCAGTACTCTTTACTAAATTTCTTGCAAATCGAGGGTTATATAGGGACTTTTGTGAATTTAATGTAAATGGTCGGACGAAAGTATATATGGGAGATATATATAAATCTGATCCGATTTTTCCTAATTTCAATATGGTTCGTCCTTAGGCCACATAAATGAGCTGTGCCACATTTCATCCAACTCGGATCATAAATGCGACCTGTACTTTGTTTACAATTTAACACAACCAGAGGGACGGGCATGCATAAATCGACTCAAAAAGTGATTCTATGAATATTCTCAAAAGGAACCATGGGTCTATCTCGTTTCCTTTTGCCTGTTACATACATATGCACAAAGATATAATACCCTGTACCACAGTGTGGTAATTTTGGTGGTCCAGTATCTCTATTCCTCATTCAATGTTTCGAGCATCTGCATCAGTTAACAATTTTGAGCGACCAGATGTGATACATCTATGTCTTTTACGAACTATTTGGAAATATTTAGTTATTTTCCTCATGCTGTGGTTACGAATGAATTATCAGTGTTTATTAAAAAAAATCCAATAATATTTTGGAAACCCTACTTACAATTTTTAAAGTACCCACAAACCCGATATTAAATCAAAACCTATATAAATATGGGCAATATAGCCAATTTTTTAACATAGCTGAAGCGGAGGTTCACCCCATTATAACTCGGGAATTACTT